GAAGGACCAGGATCCTCTCCTTACCACAGGGTAAGGCCCCGCTGGTGAGGCTGCTTCCCTCTGCTCAGGCACAGAGGGACCAGCGAATGTATCATTCTGGAGGCAGTGGAGATGTTCCCCTTAGGGAGATTATAGTAGATAGCGTGTCCCTGGCCTCGAGGCATAGCTTCTGGCCATATGGCTGTGTCCACTGGTCTGTATAGACAGAGTTTGAAGGCTTTATTCTGGGTGCCGAGGGCTTTCCAACTTCCAGGCAATGCACCGAGATGAGTAAAACAGGTGTTTCCTGTAGCAGTAGTGGGGACTGTCTGAGATTGGATCTGTAGTTCTTGATTTCAGAGCACCTGCCTCCCAACCAGATGCCCAGCATCTGGGCCTCAGATTAAGTTACCCATTTCTTGCTCCAGCTGTTCAACTTGGTTTGGGTGCCAGAGTTTCTGGTTTCTTGGCATAAGCCTGTAGCTGCTCCCTGCTTGGCTTCTGTTCTCCTCAGTCCCTGTGCCTACACTCTGTGTGGGTGTGGGAAAAATCCGTGTTTTTCCACTCAGTGTTCCAATGAAGCTGGAATGCCATTTCCTACCCAGAATAGGTCACTACTGCTGTGGTCACAGGATGTAGCCTTCCCCAAAGACCATGAATGATCAAATCTCAGTCCGGAATTCACCTTCTTTCAAGAAGTGAGAAGCTTTCCCAAGAAAATTGGAGATGGGAAGAGGCGTGGTCTGATGCTCAAGATTTACTCATTTTCTGTTAGAGAATGAGGTTAATTTTATTCCCCTTAAATTTATTAGCAAACTGTCTTTGAAGAAAAGCTTATGGGATTGGTAGGATCCCTGGGAGCAGCTAGCCTCCCCTGCCTTACATGGCACCTCCAAGGAGTCCTAACTTCTCTCACCTTTGCTGTTAGAATGGGGTTGTGATTTCATGAGGCTTAAATGATCCCCGTCAATGGCATGTTACTAGAATTGCCTTAGGTCTACTGGAGGTGGATGTTGTATCACCTCTGACAGACTTCTTTTGAGAGACTGTTTGGGGAATCCAGCATTCCCCATTTGTCTCTAGAGGTGGATGCCAAACCATTTGCTCATAATGTAATGCTCCTTAAATACTTCTTTGGTGCCTATTGCTAGTATCTGGGAGCTGAATCAAGTGCTGTTTTCCCAATGCAGTGTCCAGGGCAAGGATCATTCCAGTGTGCCTGTCCACTACTACCAAAAGCAAGGCAGGAGGAGAGCCCTCCTGGCAGGTGGTGAGAATCAGGTGCCCTGGTGCAGCCAGGCTTGTTTGCCCTTGTGACTCTGCTCTCCTTTCCCCCACGTGCGTTGGAGCCAGTTCTCAGGTCGGGGTCCCAGCTTGAGGGTCGTTGGTTGCATGCAACAGTGCCTTTGAGGACTGAAAAGATGAGCCTGAGCCATGTCCAATAAGCAAGCACCAAGCTGATGAGAGTCGCTCTCCTGCAGTGCACTGCTATCCTCATTTCTCAATGCTCTGCAGTTGGGAAGCTAGGTGCACAGACTGGATTCCCCTTGGATCTAGTGGAGGATTAGGGCTCCTGACAGAGGATGCCCTGTGCTCCACAATCTCATATGTGCCTTAGAGGATTCACGCTATCCAGGTTGTGCCTGTTACAGACCACAGATTTCACACCAGCCAGCTATGCAACAAAAAAAAACAGTTTAAAGGTAGCACCTTTGTCTTGGGCTGAAAACAGAAAGGCAGGCAGGCTGAAGTGCCTTTGAGCAGTTTCAAACCCTTTTTACTTCTCCCCTTCTCGCAGTGCTAGCTCCATATATGTTGGTCTCCTGCTAGTATTGCTACTGAGTTGTAGAGGAACACAACTTATGCCTGCTCTGACACTCTGGCTGAAAACTAGTTTGTCGTTGTCTTTCTTTGAAAGGTTAAAGGGTGGAGTGGTTTGGAATTTCTGTTTAAATAAATGTTTAAACTCATACTCCTGTGTTTGAACTCTTTTTCTTGTCTTTCCTTTCCAAGAGAGGAAAGGGAAATATGCATACAGTCATCTGGTTTTGTGGCATTCCTGTTTTTGATTATTTTGCTTATAGAAAGAGGGTGAAAGGCCTCTTAGGTTCTTTGCTCTGTTTAAAAAAAAAAGTCAGTTTCTGTGTCCCTTCATTAAAAGAAACCACCACCAACCAAACAAAAACCCCATTATTTTCTCATACTGCTACATCTCCTCCTAGTGACGTCAGGAGCTTTTGTGTGTGTGTGTGTGTGTTTATTTCCACAGTTTGAGTGCCAAGTGGGAAAATGAGTAACAGGAAGAGACGCTTAAAGGGAAGAAGTACCTGTTTCTCTCAGAAGATCTTCACTGATCATTAAGGCCTATAGAAGGGAGAACCTGCCTGACACCTGCTCAGCCAACTGTTCCTGCACACTGTACTTAAAAGCCTGTCACTTTTATCAGAAGTTTTATTAAATTGTGAAATATCTTGACAGGCAGAGCAGAGTTAAAGACTTAAAATTCACTAGAGATTTGGATGCTGAAAATGCAGCATGTCTTTGAGAGGGGGATTATGCTGCAGGAGCAAAAGAGGAAGCTGAGCTGGTATGAATAACACAGCTTGAGTAGTGTCAGGGTAACTAACCATGATAGCAAAGCACCACCTTAAATCTCTGTGCTGAGCCTTATACTTTGTCTAACATTACTTAATGTTAGTTAAAACTTACTAAGTTTTAAACCAGTTATCAGAGACTTTCTGGATACTGAAACAATAGCAAAGAGGGGTGAACTTCCCAGTTAGCTACAAAACAGGTAACAAATGAAGCCTGGTGATTTAATAACTTTTGTTTAATCTACAGTTTCAATCTTTTCAATCTCAGTGTTTGCCATTTGCCTGTCAGTTATGAGAAGTCCCCAATACATGGGTTTATTTTACAACATCGAATCCTTTTCTGTGTGTATCCACATGTCAGCATTTATACTGCTGACCTTTGGGGTCCACTAAATATTGTCAATAAAACATAGTGCAAGGGAAGCAGAGTTAATATAGAAGACAGGCAGTGGTGCTGAATTTTTAAACCAGTGTGTTCAAATCACTTACACCTTTCATGAATTCAAGGAGGCTGGCATAAAGGTTTCAGTTTACCCCTTTCCAGGAATTAGGTAATTCCTACCTTTTGACACCTCTTGCTATCCTCTTTTTCAAAACCCTGAAGTTAAAGCATTGGTCTTGCTTCTCCAATCAGTTTGGACACAGTAAACTATTTTCCCTTCTTTTGAGTCTGCTTTTTCTCTCGGGTTTGTACACATATCATTGGCTGGCACAGTGCAGCAGTGATCCTTTCTGGGACCTTCATGCTTTTCCAGGGTGTGCCAAGGAATTGAGATTTCTTGTCATGCATCTATAGGACAGAAGCTCTCCAACCTCTTTCAGGAGTCAGCTTCACTCACTGAAGGCTGGAGTATTTCTTCATATTCAACTTCTGACTATTCCAGCTTAATCTAGTTGCTTTACATCTTTCCCTAGGTTCCCATGAGCCGCTGCTATTGCTACTGGAGAACTTGCAAAAGGAGCTGCTGGAGTTTTTTTATTCCTTGTTTGCTTGCAACTTTCTCATACAAAGTAGTCGTTCTTACTGTGAGAACACAGACCACTCTATGACCATTTAAAATAACTTTTACACAAGAGAACTAGTTTAATATATTTAATAATCAGAATCTAGAAAAATAACATCTCGAGAAGAAAAGAAGGGATATGTTTTTGTCATATCTCCCTACCACTGCAGTAACCAAAATGAATATAAGCAGATGACTTAAGGATGCTTGAGCTAGCTTTTTTTTTTTTTAGAGGTTCCTAGCAACTTGGCCTACAGGAAAACCCCATTTTTTAAAATATCAAATCTGATTGTGATAGTTGTTCTGTTGCCTCAAGGGCCTGGGTGATTCAGAGTATCACTGTTCTATGCACATGAACTGACAGAAGGAGTCAGACAGTAAGTGCCTGCTATTGCTAGCTTTTCTAACCCCTGGAATTTCTGATCCTGAGCTTCTTGTGCTGAGGAAAAGTTCCAAGTCAAAGTATACAAGTTCTGTTATTCAGCTTATTCATCCTGAGCTGTTCACTTGCTGTGCATAGAAGCTTGCAGCCAGTGTTGAGATTGCCAAAACCACAAATGTCTATAGCTGTGAGTCTGGCAAAAAACAGGCAGGGGATCACAGCAACAGGTACAGCTGGGCACTGCCTTATCTTATAAGAGTACTGTGTCTCTTCTGTGGTGGAGGTGGGGGCCTATTCTTTATATTTTTGCATTTGGGAATATGTCTCTCAGCTACTCGGGGAGAAAACTTGCGTCCACAGTAGGTGCAGGCAACATAGTCTGGATTTTCAATGGGAGGCAATGGGGGCAGGTCAGACACCTTCCTCCCCTTAGTGAGGATTTGCTGCACCTGGCGGGCCTGTGACATGATGTGGATGAGAGCCTCGTGCTTCTGTTTCCAGTTGTTCTTTCTGGGTGGTGTTTTACTCTGTGGAAGGGAAAGGCAGTCAGGCCAACTGGGACCACCATCAGCCTCCATTCTTAAACTTACACTCAGAGCCCAACCCATGTCACCTGTCCCTGTGCATTCCCTGTTGATGTAAAACCCAGCCTGAGAAGCTGAGTCCCACAAAGGGAATCAGAAAGACCAGCACAAAGGAGGATGTAAAGGAAACGCTGTCGGAAACATCAGTGTTTAGAAAACAAAGAGCTTGAGGATAACCAGGAAAGCAAGCAGTAGGGCCAAGGAACCAGAGAGGGTTGCTACATCTGCTTTGCAGGAACAGAGCTGCATGTTTCCACTGCCTTCATTTTAACAGACTATTATTATCTGGATTTTTAGTCAGCTTCCTGCAGCCCCTGATGTCACAGAGCTTTACTGCAGCAGAACCAGTCTGCATCCTAGCTATAACAAGGAAGTGAGTTTTCTCTAGCAGTACACCCCTGACACATTATAAAGCCAAGTCAGGACTCCTGCCTCTATCTATGAGAATTTAAATGAATCTGTTTTATCCATTTGGTAAGAACCTTTCAGAAGCAATAGCTGTATTGTATCCCTTAGCCCCATGTACGTGGGAAGGTGCTTGCATCTCAGTCAGATGTTGAAGTGGAAGGAATGTGAACAGTAGATGTGGATCCAGGGAGGTGAAGGGACTGCACATTACCTGAGGACTCCTTGAGCTCGTGCACTGCTGATACTGTTCCAGTTCTGTTCCCTTAGCTCTGGCCTTTCTGGAGTCAAACACTTTCCTCTTGGAGTCTTGGTTCTTGCCACAGACACTCATATGTTTCTCAAGCCTTGTGCAGAGAAACTTGCGTTTGCAGAAGCTGCACTGTCCAAACTCCTCCTGCTCCACAGCACTGGCAGCCTGCATGTATAGCATCTCTGCAGATGGGTGGTCATCAGAATCTTGGTCTGAGAAGGCAGAGAGAGAAAGGCTATGTTTTGGGGCCAGCTTTGAACAAGAAGCTGAATGCTCTGTGGGTTTGCTGTCTCGTATTTTGCTGTTGTTTGTTTTGTTGTATTTTGCGGCCACCACCCACTCCTCGAGTTTCCCCACAGCCAGCTCTTGGGGGTGGAGATTGGTGCCAGGCTTGGGGACAGTGAACTTTGCCCCACTGAAGATGTCAACATCTGGCCTCTCTGCAGCTCTGAAAGTTTTCTCTTCAGGGTGCCTTGTGGCCTTTTGCTCATTGGTCCTCTCCACTTCACTTTCTGTTCTCTCCTCTACCTTGATAAGCTCTTTCTCTCTTTGAACCCTCCTAAGCGTCTCCTCTGTCCTCTTTAGCTTCTCTCCAAGAAGGGCCTTTTTCTTTTGAATTGCCTTTTCTAGGTTCCTTCCATCTGCCTCCAGCTTTAGGATGTGGGCTGGCTCTCTCCTGTACAGATAGGGAGCGGATGGTTCAGGCTCCCCTGTCCAATGGCAGAGCACTGCAGCTAACTGAGACATCCTTGCTGGAACCATCCCTTTGCTTAATGAGCTTGATCTAGTATTTGGAGCTTCCTGCACGTTTGGGGAACTTCCAGTCTTGAGCAGTGGAGTTCTTGCCCTCTGGTGGTGAGAAATTGGTTGCAGGGGATATGCACGGTCCACTCCTTCTTTTTGTCTGCCTAATGATTTAGCTGACTGAGTACAGACCTGGCTGATGGGATACTTGCTCTCTAGTCCACCTGACCAGAAGCCTCCATGCTTGGGCCTGTCTTGAGTGCTTTCTGCAGACATAGAATGGGAGTATCTTTGGTTCTTTTGTGCATAGAGATCTTTTAAACTTTCCTTTTTGTCAAGTATGAATCCATGCTGAAAGCTGTTCTTCTGGTGTTTCAGCTGGGAATCAGGAGAAAACTTAGTAGCTGCTACCACAGGAGCCATCGGTGGAAAAAAAGCCATTCAGTGCCTGAGAAAGAGCCTGAGGTTAGAAGCAAAGCCATTACAGATAATTTTATCCAAAACTGGACAAATCTTCTAACAGTTTATGCATGGAGGCTGTAGACAAAGGTTATAATAAGTATTAACTAACTTTCCTGCTTTCTATAAATCTTTACATTCCTTCCATCTAGGGAGCTCCCATGCTGCCTCTTCTAGTCACAACCGTTTATACAGCCAGAAATAAGACACACTTTTATTTCTCTTTCTGTATGAGCCTTGCCTTATCATGGTAGCAGCAGAAATATACTGCAATGACAGAGGAATTGTTATACTCCCCGGGCAGTTTCCCATAACGTGTCCCTTCAGTTCTGGCAATGAGATCCACCACTGTGTCACACAGATCTGACATGCAGGAGTCCGACCAAGCTCGGCACAATCTTCCTGTGGCTCGTTCCACCACATACCCCGGGGTGTGTCGGGTGTTCACGCCGCGGGGCGGGCGGGGTTACCTGCGCGGCTGCGCCCGGCGCTTCGCCGGCCTCCCTCCTCGGCAAGCTGCGTCGCCACACGCTGCGCTTATGGCCCGAGAGACCCGAGCCCTCCTGCCGCTGCCGCTGCCCGCGGCTGCCGGGGCCCCGGGCGGAGCTGTGCCCGTCCCGCGCGCTGCTGGCGGCTGTTGCCGGGAGACCCTGGATCGCTCCCGGCCGCGCGGCCGCTCCGCCACGGCACGAGCGCGGCACCCGTGGGCGGTCCTGATGTATTATTCGTGAGGCGGTCCAACATGCATTATTCATGTCGTTATCCGATGTGTATTATTCGTGAGGCGGTCCGACATGCATTATTCGTGAGGCGGCGAATGAGGGACCGGCCCGATCCCGCTACGTCTCTTCATTGGCCGCAGGAGGGAGACCACGCCCCCGGCGGCCACCACGCGGCGCAGGCGCAGCGGGGCGCGCGGCGGCTGTAACCGCAGGGGAAGCGGGAGGAGCTGGTGCTGCCGCCATGGCGGACGGCGAGGGCTTGGTGTCCGTGGACTACGAGGTGCACGGCAAGGTGCAGGGCGTCTTCTTCCGCAAGTACACCCAGGTGAGTGCTGCGGTCCCCGGGGGCGGGCTGCCCTGCCTGCCGGCGTGCGCCGCGCCTGCTGTCACCCCACTGCGGGCGCCTTGGAGGGCCCGAGCGGCGGGCGGGCAGGGTCGTGGCCGCGGCCAAGGGCTGAGCTCCGGCTGCTGCTGAAGGGGGCTGGCATCGCGGTGCTGCTGGCAGCCCAGCCGGGTTACGTAAGCATGACTGTTTCAGCCCCAGTTTTTCGTGTGAAAGAATATACTGAGTTGAGTGAATCTTCTGCTGCTTTCCTGCTGTCTGAGCCACAGGAACTTCCCTTGGAGGTCTGTGTCTTGCCAATAAAATTGGCTCCTGTATGCGAATGTTGTTCTAGTGCTCTATTACAGTTTGGATTAACCTCATTTTGCTCTGCATTGTCTTCTCAGGGGGAGGCTAAGAGACTGGGGCTTGTTGGCTGGGTCCAAAATACCAGCCACGGCACTGTTCAAGGGCAAATCCAGGGTCCGACTGCCAGGGTGCAGGAGCTGCAGGAATGGCTCAGGAAGATAGGAAGTCCCCAGTCCCGTATCAGCCGAGCGGAGTTCAGCAATGAGAAGAAGATCAAGGCTCTGGAGCACAAGGAATTCCAGATTTTGAAGTGACTTTGTCCAGGAAGAAGCAAAGTCTGGAGTGTGAGCTGCTCTCACGGATCATTTCCCCTCTTCCTCACTCATTCAGTCAGCCAATGTTCAGCTCTAGAGAATTTTATTTTATTAGATTTCTAATTTATTGTTTTGCTGCACTGTTACTTTGATGCTCAGATTTTCACAGAATTCCAGTGGGTAGAGGAAGAGCTCTGTTAAAGGGGTTGTTCAGGGCCAGAACTTCTGGTTCCAAGTGTGTATGGTTCGGGGAGTTGTACGTAAGATAAATCTGAAATTTGTAGAGTGTGGTACTCAGGTGAAGGAAATCACAGGGTCAATGCCGACAGAAAACATCGCTAAAATCATTATTTCTGTACACTAAATTACTCAGAAACAATTTATTTTATTCCAGAACTGACTATTTTCTGTAGAATAAAATTGCTTGGTTTCCGCCTAGTGTGTGGAATGGATGTCGGATGGAGGGGCTGAGTGGATGACGGTCCTCAGAGCGGGATCTTGTTGCCAAAGCTGTCCCTCTCCCTCCCACCTCGGTGCCGCTGTGAGGAATCGCCGCGGGGAAAGCCGCAGCCGGGCCGAGCTCCCGGCCTCCTTGGACCTGGTCGGGCGGAAACTACAACTCCCGGCGTGCTCTTTATCCGTGCTCGCGGCTGCGCACGCGCCGTCGCTCCGCGCGGGGTGCCCGGCGGCCCGGCTCCGTTGGTCTCGCGCGGCGGCCGTTGCGGGGCCGCTCCGCTCCGGTGGGTGCTGAGGGGGCGAGGGTGGGGCGCGGGAGCGGGGCCCGGGTGCGGCCGGGAACAGGAAGCAGAGCGCGCTCCAGCTGTGAGGGGAGGGCACGGAACAGCTGAGTCGTGGGTCCGCCCTGTCCTCCCCAGCTCCGGGGCCAGAGAGCCTCCGGAGACCTTTCACAGCGGCGGCACCGGATCCCCAGGCACGACTAGCAGGCCTATTGAATGCCACTAGGAAACCAGTAGGAGCCAGGGACTTGAAAACAGTGGGTTCTTTTTCGCATAAACGTCTTGCTCGTTGCTTGACACCCATTGCCAAGCCTGCTTTACTCCTTTCCTGGATAAGGAGCAGCAGGCTGTTTGACCATCCTGAAGCACTGTGAATTTTTGTGAGGATGTAGAGATTAAAACAGGAGAAAAGCAGCTTTCTGCCCAGTTCTTGGTGATATTTACTCCACAATTCTGATGAAAATTGCAGTATAAACCTTTTTGTTTGCAGGTCCTTTGAGTTTTGCCTCATACAGTAGGAGTGAAATTAGGGTATACTAAGTTTGAGAACACAGCATGTAGTTAGTAAGGAGCTTAGAGGCTCCTGGCTATCTACCCTGAAGGCACTGTCAATGTGTAGTCAGAGCTTGAGCATGAAAGTAATCACAGAAAAAGCCGCTGAATGCCAAGAAAACTAAGTGTATTTATGAGGGTAAATTAAATAAATGAAAGTCTTCTCACGTCTTTAATTTGTATTTCTTTAACTTTTTTCTTTCTTTTCTCTCCATTTTTTAAGGAACATGGAGCAGTGAGCTCCCTGCAGTTTCTTGTGTTTCTCATCTATCAGATTTTGACATGATCAAACGCTTGGTGGAAGATGTGCGAGCCAGGCTGCGTTCTGGAGTCACTGTCAGCTCACTCGGACAGTGTGTTGAGGAGCTTGTCCTCAATAGCATCGATGCCAAAGCAACATGTGTAGCTATCAGGGTGGATTTGGAAGCTTTTAAGATCCAGGTGGTGGACAATGGCTGTGGGATAGGGAAAGAGGACTTAAAGGTTATTGGAAAGCGCTACTTCACCAGCAAGTGCAGTTCAGTGAGAGACTTGGAGAACCTGACTTTCTATGGCTTCAGAGGAGAGGCTTTGGCAAGCATAGCCAACATGGCCAGTGTAGTGGAAATCTCATCTAAGACCAGCAGGACAGCAAAAACATTTATGAAACTGTTTCACAATGGGCAAGCACTGGAAGTATATGAAACTGAATTGAACAGACCAAGTGGTGGAACTACAGTCACTGTGTGCAATCTGTTCCATCGGTTGCCGGTGAGGAGAAAATGTATGGATCCTGTGCTGGAAATTGAGAGAGTGAGACAGAAGGTAGAGGCTGTTTCGCTAATGCATCCTTCTGTTTCCCTTTCTTTAAGAAACGATGTTTCTTGTTCTATGGTGCTTCAGCTCCCTAAGACAAGAGACGTCTTCTCTCGGTTTTGTCAAATTTATGGACTGGGCAGATCCCAGAAGTTGCGAGAAGTAAATCACAAGTCTGGGGGATTTGAGATGAGTGGTTTTATCAGTACTGAGGGACATTACAATAAGAATATGCAATTCTTGTATGTGAATAGAAGACTTGTTTTAAAGACAAGACTACATAAACTAATTGATTTTTTATTAAGAAAAGAAAGTATAATTTGCAAGGCAAAAAGTGTCCCTGCAAGCCGTCAGGCTAATTCAAGCCCTGGTCACCATCGCTGTGGGCCAGAGTTGTATGGGATCTTTGTTCTCAATGTAACCTGTGCTTACAGTGACTATGATGTGTGCCTGGAGCCTGCAAAGACTCTGATTGAGTTCCAGAACTGGGATGTTCTTCTAACTTGCATAGAGGAAGGAGTGAAAACATTTTTGAAACGAGAGCATTTATTTATTGAACCATGTAGTGAGGACATCAGAGAATTTAATGAACATAATGACTTTCGTTTGCATAATGCTCCAGTTCTGAAGCCTTCAGTTCTTGATAAGAAGAGCATCCAAGAAAGTTTTAAGAAAGCATGTAATGAAATTGTGGATTCTTATGAAATGTGTACCTTGCAATCAAAAGATGTCAAGAGGAAATCCATTACTGGAAAAAAAAGTTCAAGTCTTATACAGTCAAGTAAAAATATACAGGAAGCTGAAAATGCCCCTGTTCAGAACACTGCTGAGTCATCTGATCCATGTAGAAACAGTAAAGCAGAGAGTCCATTGCCAAGCAAAGATGGCAGAGTTTATGAGTTCATTAAATCAAATACTTCAGAACAGGAGTCAAAATACACTAACAGTTCCCAGAAAGTATCTGATACTCGTCTGAAACCTTCAGAACATCTTCATTCCTCTTTTAGTGGAGGGGCCAGATCAGAAATAAGAGAAAGAGATGGTTGTGGTGACCTAGGGGATTGTGCAGAGAATAATATAAAAGATGTGGGCAGCCAGCAAGGTCAAGTAATACAGGAGAGCATTAAGGTCCGTGTCTTAAATAAGGATGTTATTCAGTCACTGCCTGGGAGAGAAGACCCTACTGAAACAGCAGTGGGACATGAAACTGTCTCTGGAAGTTCATTAATGAGACTTCGTAACACAAGAAGAAACAGGGAAACAACTGAAGTGAAAGACTATGCCAGAAGAGGGACATCAGCATTAAAGTTGTGCCTTAGAGACCTCATAAAAAGTGTTATGCAAAATGAGTCCCCACGTGACAGTGAACAATCAGAAACAAATCTTGCATTAAACACACAGTGTAGGCCTGGCCCTGTGAGTGCCAAGGATATTTTTGACGACAAAGTGAATGTTGTGATTCAGTCTTCAAACACTAAGGGTATTTCCAGTAATATTAATAAAGAATATACAGCTTATTTTACCAGAGAAGTATGCATGACTGATGGTAATGAGAACAAACCTTTGTCACATCGGGTGAGAGAGGAGATAGCTATGCCTACTGTTACCAATAAAAGACCTTATGAAACATCAAATAATATGGAATTGCCGCTGGCAACTTCTTCAGGTATTCCTCGCAAGAAAATCGTTATCAAAAACACTAGAAGACAGATAGCTGTGCCAAGACCTCAGCCCTCTAAGAAACTGAGCTTGTCCACACAGTTGGGTTCATTAGAAAAGTTCAGGAGGTATTATGGGAGAGTTAAGCCTACAGTACCAACACCCACGTCAAAGGGAAGTGAATGTGGTCTCCCAATTCTTAATTCAGAAACTAACTGTGACTTTTCAAAGAATGGGAATGACAATCATGATAACTTAAACAGTTGTGAAACTCCACCTGCAGAAGATACAGATTCTAATAATATTAGCCAAGGTTTTGGTTCCTTTGAAAAGACTTTATTTTGCAGTGGAGAAGTGTCACAGGACAAACAAGCCCTTTGTCAGAGTCCTTTGACATTGTCTGATTACTCTCTGGTTAGTAACAAAAATACAAGTTGTAAAAGACCTCCTGGATCATTATCATCCAAACTGTCTAGAATGAAAACTGATCACAAAGAAGTCGAACAACTTGGTGAACAGTTCCAAACAGACTCAAACAGAAAAGATGACCATTCTTTTGATCTTGAATCCTCAAATAATGATAACTTTTATAATGTTTGTGAAACATACAAATCCTCAGTGGAAAAAGTGAGGGAGTGTAAGTCCAGCATTTCTAAGGAGGCTGCGTGCTCGCAACCAGATTATGTCATAGCAGAGTCTGTGAAGAGTCCTGTCAGCTCGTCACCACTTAGCAGTATAGAAGGAGATTACACAATCTCTTTAGGCAGTGTTTTATCATTACCTGCTAAAAATGATTGTAATAACATCATCTGTAAAGATAAAAGTACATTAGGTGAATCCTCAGAACAAAATATGAAAGATACTGAGGTTCCCCAAGTGACTTTACAAGGGAACTTGGAATTTTCTGCTGACCACACAAGCACAGACAATCCCAGGAATGATTTGTGTTCTGTCTGGCTGCAAGATTTTGATGCTTTATCGGGAAGGACAGTATACATCAATAAAGCAACTGGACTCAGCACCTATGGCACTCCTCCTAGTGAAGGATTTCAAACTGCCTGTATTCAAGATATAACAACAATGGCTGTGAATGTTGTTTCAGAGAATGGTAAGAGGGGTGGTGGTTGTAAAAATGGGATGAGGAAAACTGTTCTTCTAGGTGCATGAAATAATCTTTCTGGAAGCACCTGAGAGCTTTTGCTGAATTAGTCACTGCCTTATAGGTAATAGCTGCATGGAAAACCAGAAAGTGTTGGGAACTATGGAGACAGTAAAACATTAACAGTAAAGATATTAAAAGATAATTTTTAATGAAATGGTAAAAAGAAATGTCAACATCATGTCAGTTAACAGATAGTTGCCTTGTTTTCACTGTGCATCATGACATTCTCTGTGATAACAGTTATATATAATTGTTGTCACAGGTAAAATGAGAAACATATTTCAAAGTAAGTGTACCAGAAAAGTACCATGTTTTTTACCATTTTGTCCTAAACAGTTACGTTTCTAAAAATGTGTTGTTAAAGAGAGCCTTATATTAAAATGATCTTTTTGGAAACTGCATACAAAATTTAAAGTTACCCTTGAAAGATGAATAAAAAAATCTAACTTCATTGAGAATATGTAGTCTCCTCTGACTACAGATTTTAGAATCCTCTGACAGATTTTAGAAGGCAGGCTGTTCTTTCACTCTT